AAGTTAGGCTTATATTTTTGAGTTATTTGACCAGGTTCATTACTTTTGATTATGGTCAACAGAAGTAAAAGTAAACTTAATTTTAAGCTTAATAAGCTCGTTCAGCTGTCAAAGAAAAATATGTTTTTGCTAAAAGTATTCAACCACATTTTTTGTTAATGACAGGATTGTTAGAAATCCCGAGTCTTCCTATGCAGTCTCCCCCTGATATCATCAATTATAAGATAGTATTGTATGGCAAGCCAGGGATAGGCAAGACAAGCACCATTGCCAAGCTCAGTGGACAAGGTATATCAATTATATCAAATCTATCTGTTGTAGCTCGGTGCTTTTCTTGGGGGGTAAACCACAGGTAGCCCAACCTCAGCTCAAGTTGAAAAGTGCTGAGTTTGGGCTACCTGTGGGTGAAGTCTCAGCACTGTCCTCAGTCCTCCTTCACAAGGAACTCCCAACAGTGTGAGACCCTCAATTAAGACTGCTTCTACCAAGGCACGGAAGGGCTATATTATGGATCTTTTATCTTCATCAGGGATGTCAACCCCAGAGCTTTATATATCTGGAGAAATTGCCTCGATTATGTGTATGACGTCACACCRTGTGAATGACGTCACAAATAACGTTGCATAATCAGTTTATATATTTTTCATGCGCGAGTATACGTAAGCAACGCCTGTAGGTATTTCGTTCCGTATCGAAAGATCGAGGAAACATGACATAATTCATTGAAGGTTTTCTTTGAAAATATAAATCTACAATGATGGTTAGTAATTAATATCATTCTATGAAAATATCGTGCGTATCCGGGAGATTTAGGGCTAAAATCTTGAGAMCGGRAGATTCGATCTKAAACCGGGAGTCTCCCGGCAAATCCGGGAGAGTTGACGTCCCTGCTTCATGATGATGGTCTTCTAACATTCAGTAGACTGATTTTACACTTGAATTTCATTAATGAGGCACTGATCAAAACCTGTTATTTAATTACTTCGTACAGCAGCTCTGTTGTTAGCTTGGGTTTTGTTTTATTGTTTGGAAGACTTATCTATTGTTTGTCCATTATTTTCTCAACCTATCATCAGGTTCATTCTGATCGGTGTTGATTGTCACTTGAATTGTAAAGTCCAAGAAGCGCAAAAGCTAAGAGCCCTTCATGTATACACTTTCAGACACCCTACTGAAAACATCTCGAGTTTTTTTTCTGAAAAAAATCATTCTATGATTTATCATTGAATTGTATACACGACTTTCAAAAATGGCGCCAGTTCACGTCCGCCTATATTGGGGACTAGTGACGAATCATGGAAACGAGACCTCAAAGGCCTTCCATCAAGAAATCACTATGAAGATCGTATGTAGGCAGTGTCCAAATGTTTGAAAGATGTATTGGTATGTTATTT